CCCCCAGCACCACATGCCAGCCAGCCCCGCCCCCTGGTGGGCTGAGCTGGCCACACACACACACACCACTCTCTCTCTCTCTCTAATAAATAAATAAATAAATAAAATTTAAAAAAAAAAAAACAAAAAAAAATAAATAAATAAAAACTTTTTCTCCAGCACTAGGGATTAAGCAGTGCCTTTGTCCTTAGTTCCATCCCTAGACCCTCTCTTTTTTTTTTTTCTTTTTCGGAACCGGGGATTGAACTCAGGCCCTTATGCTTGCCAGGAAAGTGCTTATTCCACTGAGCCATCTCCCCGGCCTCTAGACCCTTTTTTAATTGAGACAAGGTCTCACTCACTTGCTAAATTGCACAGACTGATCTTGAACTTGCAACCATCCTATCCCAGCCTCCCAGAGTTCTTGGTTTACAGACACATGCCACTAACGCCCAACTTTTAAGAGAAATGAAGAAATGGTTCTAAAAACATGTAAGAAATACTTCCTTTTAAACTCAATTGACAGGACTGGTGAGATGGCTCAGTGGTCTAAAGCACCTACTTGGAGCAGGCTTGACAAAGCACAGGGACCACGGTTCAATCCCCCAGCACCACATGCCGGCCGGCCCCACCCCCTGGTGGGCTGAGCTGACCACACACACACACACAAATAAAAAAAAATTAAAAAAAAAAAAAATAAATAAACTCAATTGACATTATTATCTTCTGAATAAACAACCTTGAAAAGCATCAGTTAAAAAATACTCATATTAGGCCAGGGAGATGGCTCAGTAGAACAAGCACTTGCCTGGCAAGAACAAGGGCCTGAGTTCAATCCCCAGTTCCGGAAAAAAAAAAAAAAAAAAACACCTCATATTGCTGGGCCCAGAGACCCATCTACATAATCCCAGCTACTAAGGAAAAAGACAGAGATTGAAGATAGTGGGATCAAAAGTTGCAAGACAGGGGCCGGGGAGATGGCTCAGTGGAATAAGTGCTTCCCGGGCAAGCACAAGGGCCTGAGCTTCAATCTCCGGTTCTGCCAAAGACAAACAAACAAACAAACAAAAAGTTGCAAGACAGTATGAGCAACTCAGCAAGACTTTCTCTCAAAATTAAAAAACACGCAGTGCTGTAATCTCAGCACTTGGGAAGCTAAAGTAGGACCTGCTGCAAGTTCTATCTTAGCCTCACAAGTGCTGGGATTACAAGCATACGCCACCATCTTGACAATTTTTCCTTCTTCTGATACCTTACTTTAGGGGGCCTGCCCATTAGCTCAGTTGTTTAAGTGCCTGCTTAAGCAAAGAAGTTAGGCTCAGGATTCTGTGGTTCAATCCCCAGATCCTCATGCCTTAACAGGCCTGCCCTTAAGGCCTCGTATATTCTGTCTCAAAAAATAAAATATTTAAAAAAAAATTCTTAAGGGCAGGGAGGCATCTCAGTATGCAGCCTGCCGAGCACACATCTACCTTTTGAAAAAATAAACTATTTCAAAAGGAAACACTAGCTGGATGTGGGGTACATACCTATTCGCCCAGCATGTGGGAGGAAGAGGCAGAAGGATGGTGGTAAATTTGGGGCCAACTTGAGCTACATGGTGAGTTCAAAGCTGGTATGAATAAAATAGCAAGACCCTATTTTAAAATAAAAGAACCAGGGAGATAGCTTAGCAGCATAAAGTGCCTGCCTGGCAAGCAAAAGGTCCTAAATTTGATCCCAGGTTTCCCCCCCACCAAAAAAAGAAACACTAATAGATGAACGAGTGATTTACTATGAACTCCATTGATAAATTTAAAAACAGACTGTTTAAATATAACATTTCAGAAAAAAATTGTTACT